CTGCACTCTGTAGCATCATAGAGGAAGAGAGAGGGCCTTCATCACAGTGCTTTGAGCTTAGGCTTTCAGACTCCAGAACAGTGTGAAGCAAACTTACCTTCTTTACTCAGTGCCTAGTCTCAAATATTTTGTTACAGCAGCAGGATCCAGTTCAGGCATACATTGTTCTTTTAAAAGATGGAGTCTAAGCCGGGTGGTGGTGGTGCATGCCTTTAATCCCAGCACTCGGGAGGCAGAGGCAGGCGGATCTCTGTGAGTTCGAGGCCAGGCTGGACCGACAGCCTCCAAAACAATACAGAGAAACCCTGTCTCCTAAAAACCAAAAAAAAAAAATATGGAGTCTAATTCTTTTCCCCATGAATGAATTTGAGGTAAGTTTAGCCAAGGACTTGTAATGAGAAGAATGTGGTCAAAATAATGCAACTCATGAAGGGGACATTTCTGCCTGTTCACTCCCTTAGATGGCTTGTTCTGAGGAAAGCTACTGCCAGGTCACAACAACTACACTCTAGCACTCCTGAAAGAGGTCTGTGTGGAAAGGCTGACCCCTCCTCCTAATCCAAATCCTGTGTGTGAGGCCCTTTCAAGGGGTCTCCTCACCCACAGAGCCTTCACTGGAGGATCCAACTGATATCTCACCCCTTGTCTGATGAGAGTCCATTCCACTGGTCCAAAACTGCTCCTGAATGCACAGCCCATAGGAGGTATCAGAGTTAATGGATGTTTATTATTGTTTAAAGCCACTAAGCTTTGGGGGATTCGCTGTGCAGTAAGAGATGGCTAATACAGGAAGCAGTTAGCAGAAGATGCTGTTCCAGTCTGAAACGCTTGAAGTGAAAATAGTAATTATTATAGACTCAGAGGATCCTTCCCCCCAGCAATTTCCATTTTATTCTCATTCATTTTGGATTACGCAAGTCTCACCAAAAATGCTGGGAATCCCCACTCTTCCTTCTACCTGCTCACGCCTGCAAGGTTGGTGTGCGCCGTTTGCATTTGCATGGATATGGATGGTCACAAATGCCAGAAAGGTTAAGAAAACTGAGAACTAGGTACCCTCCCCCTACTGCTCCTGAAATATTTTACATACTGCATTTTGCCTTTTTTGGACTCCACTCCCCACCCCCCTTTTGGCTTAGAGAAAAAAAACATGCATGCATTTGTATTAGTGTTCCAATCCAATGACTAGCTGTATTTAAGGACTTATCTTTTCAATGAAACTGTGATTAAGTATATTTTTTCCTAAGCATAGAACTGACTATGTTGCTTATCAGTCAAAACAACTTTTTTTGTAGTTCATTGTTGCTAATAACTAACCAAAGTTTAGATGGTAAGTGCTTGGGAGTGCTCAGATATGGATGGAACATGAGTATCACACAGCCTCCTCAAGGGTCAGATGGGGATGGAACACAAGTATCACACAGCCTCCCCCAGGGATCACACGTTAGTAACGTGTAGTCTTCCCACCAGCCACCGCCGTTTGTTGTGGGATTCCCGCCTGGGTCCCATTGCCGCTTTAGCTCCCAAATAAAACATAAGATGCTATATTAATTATAAAGCTGTAGACCATTTGCTTGATTTCTTATTGGCTAGGTCTGACTTAATTATTAACCCATAATGGCTAATCTGAGTATTTCCACGTGGTCTTCCCTTACCAGAGAAAGGGTCCGGACCTCTTACTCCTCTGGTGTCCTACATCGTGACGGACTGTGCCTCTCTTTCCCATAATCCTCCTCGACTCCTAGTCACACTTATCTTGCTTCCCTATTGGCCAGCAGTGCTTTATTCAACAACCAATAAGATAAGCACATACACAGAAGGACTTCCCCCGTCAGAACTGAGTATCACACAGCCTTCCCAAGGACCAGTGAGCATCACAGAAGAGGAGGCAGAGGACCATAAGAGCCAGAGTTCAAGGAGGACTGATTTAAAACAGTGTCTTCTGGGCGTGACAGGTCCACTTCACCCATGACATCATAGCAGCCATAGTTGCCTGCATCAGACCTGAACAAGGTCAAATCAGACAACATTCTAGAATGGAGTATGTGCAACGATTATATGTGCAACACAAACTGGACTGAGTAAGGTTACAAAACACAAAAGAGGACCCAAAGGTGGGAGGAGGTGGGAAGGAGTAGATCTGAGAGAAGTTAGGAGAGAAGCAAGGGTGAATTGCTCAAAATACGTTGTGTACATGTATATGAAAACCTCAAATGATGAATGCACATAATCTTAGTTTTATAAAGGTTGAGACTGGTTAGTCTTCTTCTTTTCACCCCACCTACAGAAGTTTGAATAAGAATGCCTCCCATAGGCTCATATATTTGCATGTTTAGTCACCAGAGGGTGGCACTATTTGAGAAGGATTAGGAGGTGTGGCCTTGTTGGAGGAAGTGTGTCACTAGGGGTGGGCTGTCAGGTTTCAAAAACCTGTGTGAGGTCCAGTTCTCTTTCTGCTATGGATCAAGGTACTGCAGCACCATGTCTGCCTCCATTCTATGCTCCCCATTTGTAGAGACTAAGCCTCGGCATCAGCTTGGTCCCCCAGGTTCCTGCCCTGCTCCCCTCAGTGATGAACTATTACCTGGAAGTGCAAGCTGAAACAAACCCTTTCCTCCTCAAGTGGCTTTGTGAATGGCATTTCATCACAACAGTCGCAACCCTAACGAGGACACCACCCCATATGGCTTCTGTAAACAGCTTCTTATGCTGTGGGTGGTGACCCCATGAGGTGGCATAACCACGTGTGGGAACTGTGAAAGATTGGCAGCAGGGAAAGCTTTCTGAACGCACAATGGTTGAACATCAATTCAAAATCAAATGTACAACAAATGTGAGGTATTTTTGGCAGTGTGTTCCTGAGTCATATCATGTGACTTCACAGAAGTCCTGCTATGCATGCAACCCCACGACACAGTACGCCACCAACAAATGCTGCCTGAAACACTTCAGCTCAGATCTGAGATGATTAGGTGCTGTGAATGGCAGTGTTTCTACTGTACATGCAAAGTTTCCTGTGCTTATAGAAATATACTGGTTTAATTAAAGAAAACAGAGACCTTTAATAGTTTCCTGTTGCCAGACCTCAGCATGTAAGCATCAACATAGTTGTATTTCTTGGGATCCTATAGTGTGAGAATGTTAGATTTTAAAAATTGCTGTCTGCAGACTAGGGAAATAGTGCAATTGATAAAGTGGTTTGCTAACAGGCTTGAGGACCTGAGTTCAATCCTCAGCATCTGTGCTGTACAAAGGTGGACAGGGAGCTTATGTTTGTAATCCCCAGTGTTGGGGAGGTGGAAACAGGCAATTGGCTGGGAATCACTGACTTGCCAACCTAGTCTACGTGGTAAGTTTAAGGTTCGGGAGACCCTATCTGAAAAAGAAAAAAACAGGTGGATGGTATTTGAGGGACAAGACTAGAGGGTGACCTCTATCCTTCACATGTACACACATACACAAATACGCAGTCATACACATACAAGTAAAAGAGCACATATACACAGTGACACTAAATTTCTGTTTGAGCTGCTAATTTGAATCCCATTAAAAATAATCAATAAATTTTGGCTTGAGATTAGGACAGAATCTCAAAGATGGCCTTAAACATGTTTCTGGCATTTTGTGATATATTAAAATATTCACCAACTCTTAAAAACATGGAAATTGCTCACTTCCTGAGGTATCAAATATTTAGCTGAAATTTAATTTATAAGTTAAATTAGGCATGTCCATCTCATTAGCATGTAAATTTACTTTTGTCTTTAATAAATGGTAAAATTATATGTCTACCAAAGAATTGCTTTAAGATAAAATTCTTTGTGATTCATGACAAGTAGTATTTTATTTCTATACCTGTTTTATATATTTGTATATCAAGGGCCTCATAAAATTTTCAAGTGAAAATTTGCATGTTGCAAAGGTGTGTGAAACTTTGGTATATGGGACTCTAAAAACACGAGGGAACATTTTATAAACTGGAAATTGCAGACAAGGACAAATCCTCCTCTTTAACATCCCTTGCTACTTCCCTATGGGTCTTTCCTTTCCCAAAAGGTTAGTCTACTGGTGACCTGAGCCCACCAGTATCTGCATCTTTGGTGGCAAGGTATATGAGGCTTCTTTCCACAGCACAAGGTTATGTATTCCCTCCTATGCCTCTGAAGGTCTCAGTGACAGCTTGGAGATCCTAACTCACTTACAGTTTCAAGAATATAATATCAAAAGCAAAGGCCAACCTTTCCCCATCCTGTCGCCATCTAATGTAATTGGTTTGAAATGATGGATAGGAATTGGTCAACGGCATCCTTCTATAAACAACCAAACCATAAATTTTGCAAATTTAGAGTCAGATTGAAACCGCATGAAGCCAAGAGTCACCGATTCCTGAGCACTTTATAAGCCGTCTGGAACCAGGGCAATCATTTAAACCTCTACGATGGTGGAGTGTTAGTCCATTACCGAGCTGCATCTCCAGCCCATACCCACCCTGATCTGCATGTTTGCATTGCCAGTGGCTTCCTGTTAGGCATTGTCAATAGAGCAGGCCGAAGAAGACTGAGGGCTGGGAGAGGGAGTCACCACCAAGTGACAAGCTCTTACATTTCTTCCAGGGAGCCCAAGGAATGTGTGGTCATGCAGAGGTGTCTCACAAACCTTCACCTGTCGTGGGAGTTTCTAGATTTAGGAAATTAAAAAAAAAAAGGAAAGATTTGATTATGTTCAGACAATATTTTTTTTAGTGGAAGTATGTCCTAAACAATATTTGAGACATAAACTATTAGTTATTGTTTATCTGAAATTCATGTTTATCTGAGTGTCTACCATTTCTTGGGTACCCCAAGCTTCATTGGCCAACTGCCCCAGCTACCTGAGGCTCTTTGAAACCTTCCCATTCATTGGTCCCTGCGCTCTGAAGCCAGGCTTCTCACAAGTTCTGCTATTGGCAATGAATGTGCTAGCATGCTTGGTTGCTGAGCAGCTTCAGGAGAGACGTGCAACTCCCTTGAGAGGCAACCTTAGCGCAGTGACATCTCCATGGCTGGAAGCTGCTTGAATACTAAAGTCCTCCTCTTCTTTATTGGGCTCTGTATCTCTGCAACAGTTCTTGGTGGCTGTCGCTCCACACCCAAGCATTTTCCCTCAAAGGAATCCGGGAAAGTCCTATCTTTTCTTCAGATCCTGTCAAGGTGGTTGAGGGTAAGCAAGATTGTAGTGACTTCCTTCAGTTATTATCTGTGTGGCTTTGGTGTCTCTCTGCTCCTTCCTAATCACCTCACGTGCCACACAAAACCTTTTTGTTAGGTCTGCTCTCTTTGAATAGTGTGGCACTTTCTGCCTCTGGACTGAACTTGTCTGGCTACCCCAGCCTGGAAAGAATTCTCAACATCTCCAGGAATCTTAAGGCACTGAATCCATCCTTTAAAGGTATTTGGTGTTTTGTTTCCTTGACTCTTGTTTTATTGTGCAATTGGCAAAACAGGTTGACCAAGATGACTGCCTAGTGTAAATGTTATGTCAGACATTTCACCCCTTGCCTTCCCATTACTCTTCCTCCTCCCCCTCTTCCTCCCTCCTCCTTTTCTTCCTCTTTCATCGCCTCCTCCATCTTCCCTTCTCCTCCTCCATCTCCTTCTCCTTTTAGTGTATATGAATATACCTGTGGTGTATGTGTGTGGTGTGTGATATGTGCTTATGAGTTCACAAACTTACCCATAGGCCAGAGGAGAACATTAGGTGTTCTATACTATGCTTTTGCTGTCTCCCTTGAAGAAGGGTCTCTCAGTGAATCTAGATCTAGGCTGGCTGCCAGTGAGCCCCAGAAATCCTCTGTCTCCAGTCTTCTTAGCAGGGTTACAAGCATGAGTTCAGCCAAGCTCAACTATTTACACAGGGCCTGGGGATTTGAACTCTTGTGCTCATGCTTGTATAGCAAGGATTCTTACTGACCGAAGCAGCTCTCCAGCCCCAGACATTTCTCAGGTTGTGTTTGGTGCTGGGAGTTACATTCGGACACACTAGGAAGCTGGACCACCCCCTCCCCACCCCTGAAGGTAATCATGCAAATGACAAATCTTGAAGTCATTTTCAGTGAGGGTGTGCTCATTTCAGAGACAAGACGCCTGCAGCAGGATCTGAAGATCAGCCATATGGAAACTGGTCCACTCATTTTGCTTGGTTCCAGATGTTAGAACCAAGCATCAGAGCCAGAGGAGCCGTGGCTCAGAATCTGGCAACAACACAAACCCATATCCCTTTAGTGTGTCTTAAACATGTATCTGACAAGAGGTGGGGAATTGTTTTTTCTACTAATAAAATGTCTGTGATTTTTTATGATAAAAATAAGGGATTCATGAAATGTGGTAACATAACAATAAAGTTTTAATTTTTTGAAAATGTTTCCTGTCTTTATGTCACTCATTAATGGACAGCTCGGGTCATTCAAGAGTAAGAACAGAGGTGACGTCATGGGTTATCAAGACTTCCCTGACAAGGTCTTTCACCGTCTTTTCATCAGGCACACATTTCCAGCTTTATCCCAAACTTGTTGTATTATAATCTTTTTAGGTTATTTTATGGATGGGGAAATGATGGCCTGGTGAAGGGTTCATAGTTTAAATAACTAAATTAACTACCATTCCTGGTAAATATTTCAGAACTGCTAACTGGGCTTTGGAATTTCAGATGAAGTATATCTTGCTCCAGGGGCAAGAATTGAGGTTTAGTGTGTGTAGCTCTTAGCCATGGAGGTCTGTTTAAGGCTTTTGTTTGCCTCCTGGAAAAATTCAATAGAGAAGCCGTGGTACAGATGGGAGTTTTTTTTTTTTCTCCTGAAAAGCATTTTCTGTTTCCACTTGGCAAAGCCTGCTCATATAATCCTTGGTTATGTTAGGTATGGTGGGCAGAAATGTATTACCTGGCCCACATTACAGCTGGGTTTGGTGATATTTTGGTATCCCTTTTTTCTTTACTGCTCAGCCAGCTGTCTGGTTTATCTGTCTCTTAGCCCAATTCTCCAGTGGGCAGCAGTTACAGAGGGAACCTATTTCTACCAATTAACTTGCTGGCTACCTTGTGACACAGAAGGTTTCTCAATCGAGCGTTACTGATTATGGGGATAGAGAAATCCATCTTGTGCTGGAAAGAAAAATAAACTAGACTTGTAGAAATATATTCGCTCTGGAGAGGGCCTGGGAATGTGGCTCAAGGCTAGGGGCCTTGCAGACCAGACACAAAGCCCCAGGCTGGATCCCCAGCACTGCCGAGAGTGGACGTCATGATGGTGACTCTGGAGGAGGAGGCTAAAAGCAGAAGTTCAAGGTACATAGTGAGTTGGAGGCCAGGGTGCAGCTTGGAATACAGGAGACCTGAGGCATGGGGGCTGGAGGTGTAGAGAGAAGAGCAGGAAGGAGGGAGAGAAAGAAGGTCATAGAAACACATGAAAGTCTGTCTTGCTTTGCTTTGGCAGGTTCTGGAAGGCAGGGAAACAACGGTTCATAATTAAGAAGACACCAAGGCTTGTGGTGATATTTGAAGATAAAGCAAGCAAGTTACCTGTGTCTTCAAGGTTGCACTGGGGCACTGTGTACAGTTTCCTGGGGAGCATTTAGTTTATAGTAGGGTGTGTCCAGTTTGACTTGGGGAGCCTAGGAACTGGAAGATACATGCTAGTGTTCAGGTTTCTTTTCAGTGGAAAGATAGCCTCAAATAGAGACAGTTTTAATGCCCTACTGGCTGTCATCCAGTTGTTTTACTTTTTAAAAAATTGCTAATTTTTTGGCAGCCCATATAAGCCCTAATTCCTCAAATGTTTTAAAGCCAACTTTATTATCCCATTCATTCGTGGCTGTAACTTCCTTGTGTGTGGTGCTGGGAACTGAACCCCGTTCTTCACATCTAGGTGAGTGTCCTGCTGATGAGCTGTGGCCCTCGCCCAGCCCCTCACCCAACTTTAATGAATGTGGGCCCTTTTCTGCTTTTCTCTGAAATTAGGCTTTTAGCTTTTGAAAAGTGGAGCAGTTGTTCAGACGGCTAAAAATTAATAAGTCGATTGTTTGCAACAATGACTCATACACCCAGTACCTGCAGTCTGCCAGCTCCCAGGTACCTGGCTCCTAGAACAATGCCATCTAAACAGAGACCTAGAAGATGAGATATCTTAAAAACAGGCTGGAGCTGGGGAGATGGCTCAGTTACTGAGCCCTTATGTTGTGGAGAGTAGAGAAAGGACAAAGCCAATAATCACTAACTGGGCCTCGGTGACTGCCAGCCCAGCTCCAGATTCAGCGAGAGACGCTGTTTCTAGGGAATAATGCATAGAGTGACATTTTCCTTGTGTACACACACACACACACACACACACACGTATATGACACATATATGTGCATGCACAGACACACACACATGTATATGACACATATATGTGCATGCACACATACACACAAGCACACACGTATATGACACATATATGTGCATGCACACATACACACAAGCACACACGTATATGACACATATATGTGCATGCACACACACACAGACACACACACACACACGAGCACACAACACACCCCTGTGCATATGCCACACACACACACAATCATTTTTTAAATTTATTTTTATTTTTTTATTTTTAAATTTAAATTTAAATTAGAAACAAAGTTGCTTCACATGTCAATTCCAGGTCCCTCTCCCTTTCCCTCCCACCAACCCCCCCAATATCCCCTCATCTCCCTAGGGAGGGTGAGACCTTCCATGGGGGTGTCCATAGTCTGTCATTTCATCCAGGGCAGGGCCTAGACCCTCCCCCAAGAGTCCAGGGTGAGAGTGCATCTCTCATACACACAATCATTTTTAAAACATTAGATGAAGTAGTAACATAGTTAGAGAACAAAGTCAGAAGGAATGTGCTGTGAAAAATTTTAAGTTTTACCCTTGATTTCATCAAATGTGACAAATTGGGAAGCTATAGAAGCAGGGAAGTCTTCAGAGTCTTTGAGACTCAGTTTCTGTATCTTAAAGTGTGTGACACTAGCTCTCTAGGCCAAGGATAACTGCACTTGATTTTGAACGCTTATTGGCTCAGGGAAGAGTTAACTTTATTTTGTGCACCTACCCATAGTGAAATAAGTCCTCCGGTTAGAAACCGTAGGAAAGCAGACTCACTGTAAGGAGAAAGCATTTGAGTCTGAGACTTACAGATTGGGTGAGTTGTCTGTGAAGGTGCTGAGGGCTGGGGCCAGTCTGGGAGGTCTGCTGAGATCTTCAGAAGGACTGAGTCTGATCCTGGTGTTATTAATACTGAAATCATGGTAGTGTGTTGACATCTCAAAAGTCACCGTCGTGGGAGGATTTACACCGCAAGAAGTGGTAAGTGCGCAGATTAGGGTGTATCATCATGTTTACACTCAGAGTCTCTTTTTGCAGCTGGGTCCAGGTCCTGCTGAGTCCATGTTTTTGTTTTTTGTTAATTATTTTGTATGTTCAAATAAGCTGTGCCAATCTAAAGATAATCCTTGTAAAATCTGTGGTCACACACATGAGCCTTTTTAAACATAGGACTGCTGGGCAGGTCTGGATTTGATTCCCTGGTTGAGAGATGGCCTTGTGTTCATATCCTTCTGCTATGCACAGTGGCTGATTTTTTGGGGGGACCTTGGTTTTTTAGTGTGACAATGTGGTGCTCTCTGTAAGGTGGACAATGGGGTCTGTTTCTGTCCTCTACCTGGAGAGAGATGAGAACTTACACAGTTTGTTCATCTTTTTATTGTCTATTCATTCACTGGTGAGCTCAAATTAATTAGGAAAATATTTCATACCCACTAGAAAAGAAAACAGAGCTTTGTGAACTGGAAGATCCAGTTCTTGGTCTCCATGCTTACTGCTGACCCAGAGCTGAGGTCACTATGTTGAAGCCCGTCAGCCCTCTGCAATTGAGAAATGCTTGTACCTCTCTCTGGGAGCGTCACGTTGTTTTACCTGTGGGGAGGTTTAGTAAATCACCATGAGATATTTAAAGTTAAAGAGATTTTATCCTAGTTGACCTAAGGAGAGTAATGGATGTTTATATAAATCTATGTCTCTAGAATTACTGTAAAGTAAGCTAAACTTCAACTACAATAAATGTAATCTTTTAGTAAAAATTATTTCAGAAAGTGCTAACACAAGCACTTCTGTATGATTATCTAAATCTGTTTGATATATTCATAGGAATTCTTTGGATAAATCAGTCTAGTTTATACTTTGGGTTTAAGACAGAAGGTTGAATTTTAGTGTGTTAAAATAAAATGCATTTGTACATTTTACTTTTCAGAATATATTTGTTAACTTTCTAAATGTTCTCATTTTGCACACTGGCTTATTAATGACATAAGTTAACATTGCTACTTAATGTTAAGGACAGTGAAACACAGGTGAAATTGTGTCTAAAGCTGGAGGAGAATTCAGTGTAATGTTTTTGTGATGTACACAAGGCCCTGGTTTCCCAGCACATCAACAACAAAGTTGTGTTACTAGCCAAACCAAATCAGAATTTGACAATCAGTGCCGGAGAGATGGCTCAGTGCTTAAGAATGCTGACTGCTCTTCCAGGCAGCTGTGGTTTAATTCCTAGAACCCACATGGCGACTCACAACTTTCTGGAACTCTAGTTCTAGGAAAGCCAACGTTCTCTTCTGGCCTCTGTGAGCACCAGATATACATGTGGTTCACAGGCATATATGCAGGCAAAAATCACATACATAAAATAAAATATAGTTCTGACAATTTATTAGTATTAATAATTATACCCTGTAGGATATTCATATAATCAAAACTTCTAATGTCCTCGACTTAACATTAAAATCTTGGACTAATATTTACTCAAGTAATGGGAACTCTTTGCAATCCTAGATAATTTTCTATGGAATGCAAAATACTAAGTATAATTTTAAACATGTAAACACACTGTTTGTTTGTCACACCGTGCTACAGTGACATGCTTTGGACACACTAACAAACATGCCCACATTTGCTAATATATAACGTTTGGTTGTTAACCATTTATCTAGGTTTCTCTGTGAAATAGAGGTTGGTAAATTTGGCGATTTGACTGAAAATGTATTTGAATGCTTAACCAATAAGAAATGGCACTATCAGGAGGTGTGGCCTTCACGCAGGAGTAAGTGTGCTCCTGGGGCAGGCTTTCAGGTTTCAGTAGCTCAAGCCAGACCACTCTTCTTTACTGCTGCCTGCAGATCCATATGTGGATCTCTCAGTTACCTCTCCAGCACCATGTGTGTCTATGAGTGGCCATGCTTCCCACCGTGATAATGAACTAAACCTCTGAACAGTAAGCCAGCCCCAACGAAATGTTTTCATTTATCAGAGTTGCTGTGGTCATGGTGTCTCT